AATTTGCTTCTCGGCTAAACTAGCACTACTCGTCAGGGACCCTGAGCCTAAAATTTGAAAATTCAGAGGATCTATTCGGAGCAATCTATTATTTGATAACAAAGTCTTATTGAGAAAGCACAACATGCCTTTAGAATATTTTAACAGTGAAAATCAATACATAATTGAGTACCAGAATGAATGGCTGGTGGAAATACCGTAGTAAATGCTGTTGGCAATGAGAGAAGAGGAAGACTGTATAGGGACATAATATGAGAAGGTTTCATGATTTGGGCAAGACTTAAGAACTGGCTACAAATATGGTTTTGAGCATGGTTAGGCACCAACCTGTGCTGTTTGATCTTAATTCCTACAAACCCTATTCTAGCCAGAAGGAGCCAGGATTTTGGATCCAGGTCTATCTGGATCTGAAATCTGTGATGTAAACCTTTGTCCTGTGCAGTCACCCCTACAATTTTATAAACTCAACCACTCATTCAGGTTCCCCCTTCTTTAAGGTCCAATTCAGTGATGGCCTCTCTGTAAAGTCTTTCTGACATGCTAGTTAGAATCCTGTAGGGCTTTGAACCTTTCATATACACCTTTAGTTTAGTCTTTTGTGTTACCTGCTTCCTCTGCTGGATTGTGAGGATCCTGTGGGCAGGAAATACAAACTATATCCCATAATATTTAGCACAGATTTGGGCCTGTATGCTGAATGTGTTGTTGATAGTAGGAGAGAAAATAGGGTCCTTTACAGAGGGCACAGAGTGAGTATGCCCTCAGAAGCCAGAGTGCATATGATATGCTGAAGAAAAACCAAGCAAGCCATCCTGGGTGCATGAAGGACCAAGAATAGAAGGAGATAAGTTTGGAAAAGAATGCAAGGGATAAGATGTGGAGGATCTTAAATGCCAAAGTCAAGGATTTGGACTTTCCTCTGCAGACACTGAAAACCAGTAAGACTAGCCTGATTAAAAAGAAGGTTAAGACAACGTCTCTGTCTGTGCATGAATTGGTGATGAGTAATTTAGTCGTACATTTTTCCCCAGTTTGTTTGGAACCACATAAACCTATCTTTCAGTACAAAGAGACACTGGGTCACATTTAGGTGACACATTTCCTCCAGAAATCCCAGAGAACTTCAGGAAGTGGTGGGGATGATTCAGCCAGGGGATGTGAACATGTGAGGGTTGTGTCTGGACAGAGCTCTTCTTGCCAGGCTGTGCAGAGCAGTCTTTCCATAATTTCTGTGGTGCTCACTCAACCTTTCCCAGATGGAAACGTGGTGAACAAATTTGGAAGTTTTAGGATCTCTCTGGTAAGTCTTTATCCTGAAGGATTTCTGAAGGATGTGAACTTCCTGGAGTTGCCTTACTTACCAAGGAAAAGAGAGACATTGGTCAGTTGGCTTAATTCTTCGATTACTTATGACAAAAATAAAAAATATATTGGCTTTTATATTACCAATACCCCAAGTTTAGCTCTCAGAATCAGAAGAGACTTAAAAGTCTATGGAAGTCCATTTATATTCTTATATTGGGTATCCTATCCTAAACTGTGCAGAGGTATATTTTACTGGATATACCTAACGTTTGTAACTAACAAATCTTTTGAGATCTACTTTTGTGTAACTTTTATAAAATTAAAATTATTATCAATATAGCATAGAGATTAAGAATATCAACTCTGGAGCCAGATTTCCTGAGTTCTGGTCTTGACCTTTCTACTATTTAAACTTGAGCAAGTTATTTAACCCCCTGCCTCAGTTTCCCTATTTGTAAGATGGGGAAAATAATTTACTTCCCTCATACAGTGCTTGTCAGAATTAAATAAACTGATTCATTGTTCATTTACGAAAGAGTAAAGCCCTTAGAATAGTGTCTGGTATATAAGTTCCTAATAAATATTAGCAATTTTTTAGTATATCATAAATAAGAAAATTAAAGCTAAAGGTTAAGTGACTTGGGTAAGTTATTCAGCAAAATGACTAAACCAGGATTAGTGTTTTTAATTTCAAGACAGTCCACTGAAATAACTGTTCCCTTTAGACCAGAGGTTAGCAAATTTTTTCTTAAAGAGCTGGGTAATAAATATTTTATACTTTGTGGACGTCATGGTCTCGTTGTTACTGCTCAACTCTGTCATTGTGTCTTGGAAAAAGCAGCCACAGACAATATGTAAACACCTGGGTATGGCCATGTTCCAAGAAAATTTTATTTACAAAAGCAGGTGGCAGGCCATATTTGGCTGGTTTACAGATCCCTGCTTTCGACACTTAAGTCATATCTGAAAAGAGACTTTGGATCCCATTTAGTTTTGAAGCATGGAATGTGACCTTATTATAATAAACAGTAACTTCACTTCCTAATGATCATGTTTAGCATGTTATTCTCAGTTTTGATGATCATGCATTAGAATATCAAAGGGATTTGGGAAATAAGCCATAGCAATAAATGTGTTTTTCATCTCAAAGATATATAGAAGTCACTTATTTAATGGTTTGGAGGATTTTCTTGGAATTTGAAACCTGAGGCTGTGAGGAGGAAGTTAAGGGTTTGTTTTATTAAATGGACACAAATACAGACTGTATTTTTTTCTTCTTCTGTAATCTCTGTATAGGAAAGTTTTGTGAGTTACATAAAAAGCTATTTGTAATTATGCTTGTTGTTACACTAAGGGTTTTTCTTCTAGGAATGTTGTTTGCATAGGTTTGGGGTTTTTTTATGGCTTACTTTTTAGTTTAATAATGTCTTCTTGTTTTTGAATTAAACTTGTCACCGAGCCTTTTTGTCAGTGGCTGACTGTGTTGGTTAGTTAGTATTTATAGCTTAGGTCTGTTTCTGAGGAAATGACTAAAGTCTCTTGCATTGCATCAAAACTGTGTAACAAAGAACATCTTTGACTTGCTTAAACAAGGCATGTGATGAAAACTCAAAAAATATAATGGTTCATGTTTATAAATGTTTTTATGTATTCAGTCCTGGTTGGGCCAAATAATCGTAGCTCTGTGCTGAGGAAGGGATTGAATATACTCAGTGCTTCTTAGTCAACATGAATTCCTCTGGAGGAAGTTCAGGCAGCACTTTCTCATGATGCTCTTTTTTTTTTTTTTTGTATTTTACATAAATAAAATGTTATAGAACATATGTATCTATTTTTTTCCTTCTCTTTAAACTGTTCCCTTAATTTCCTCCTCTCTCATTCCTATCTGAGAGCCCTAACATATGTGAAGCATCTAAACCTTGCACATGTAATTTCCTGCCGGGATGCTGATAGGGATTGGGGTCGATCTAGGAAGTGACCAATTTGCAGAAACCCACTCCTTGCTTCCTTATCTCTGGAATATCTTCAGGCACCCCCCATCCTAATCTCAGCCCCTGACTGTTGGCTCAGTCCTCATGGAAGTGTAGATGTCCTTCTGCTTGTCGCTCCAGGGCAGGAGATGAAGGGACTGAGTAGGGAGGAAGAGAAGACCCAGCTTCTGTCTGCTCAGACCCAGGCTGACTTGTGCTCTGGGGCCCCTGTTAAAGATGGTGGTTGGATTTCGGTGAGGTTAGATCAGCTGCGTTATGAACCCACTGGGATCCTGTGCACTAGCATTTAATTTAATTATTATTTGGTTACATTGGTTGCAGCTCAAGGAAACCACTTTTCCAACTGAATCTTGGATCAAAGCATGAAACAGATGAAGGTGAAATTCTCTGCCCACTCTCACGCACACTCACTCCTGCCTCTGTTCTCAGAATAATCTCTAGGGTGGGGTTACTAGAAGCTCATGTTGAAAACTGCTGATTAATGTAACTGTTTACTTTTGGAGCTCACCCTAGTCTTAAAATCGGGCTTGCCTATCTATGCATCATTAATTCCTTAAAATTTGCCTAGATTGGTATGTATATATGGACTACACATGAAGCCAGCTTTAGGGAAAGGCAGAATGAATGGACGGTGTGATTTGGTGGGGTGTTGAGAAATTCCTTTAAGACTATCTGCTCTCCCCATTTATGCCTGAAATTCCATTTTATTTCAATGTTTAACACCTGCCTTTTCTGAAGCTCTTTTTCTTTTTTTTAAATGAAAATGTCCTCAGGCAGGAAATCCCTTAAGTTGTTGCCACTTTGGAGCCGATCCTATTACTTCCCTACTTGATTAAACGTTTGGGGTTCTTGAACCTTCAAAAGGGCAGGAGAAGGAAGCAGCCACACTCTTGCATTGGCATTTTATCTAGGACTGGCCCTGATTGTATATGCATTGGAAAAACACGCGTGGCAATATCTCTTGTATTAGACTTGGAGACATTTTCTTTCTCATTTGGATGGAGGTAGTTATGAGATATTTGAAGGGTGAGCACCTCAAAAGAAACTTTTACTGTTCTTAAATATTCCTTCACTACCAAAATGCATTTTATGACTGTATCATGGTGGGGATATATGTTTCTATGTATACTAATGGGGATTTTTCCCACATGTGAGTTATTTAAAAGAGATAAGGGAATCAGAAATGCAAGTCTAAAAATTAGTGTATATGTTTCTACATGTTGTCTACATTTCTATGTACTGTTCTTGTTGGACAACAAAGTAATACATTAGTTGCAGGCATTTCCACTCTTTTTTTTAAACTTAACAACTAAATATTGTAAAACTATGGTTCATTCGTCTACTTAGCAAACATTCATAGAGTACCTACTATGTGCCAGGTACTTTGTGCTGTAAAAATTAATGATGGTGGTTTCACAGAAAGTCAGTGTTCAAGGAATATTTGAGGTTGTCCAGTCACTGGGGAAGGAAGGAAGAGAGGGAGAGAGTACTGGATGGGAGAGGAAGGAAGAAGAAAGGGAAGGAAGGCTGGATGGAAGGAAGTCCCTAAAACATGTTTTCTTGTTTTTAATTATACCCATGTTATCTAGTTTGATATTCTTTGCTTATACGGTAATTTATCATCTAAAGCTTTTATTTTTTTTTCTGGTGTGTTATAATTTGAAATTGATTTTAATTGTCATTTTTATATTTGTTTCTTTTTAGTACAGAAGAACTTGTATGGATCAATTTGCTAGGTGCATGCAAGATTTGAAGAGCTGAGAAAACAATCTGAATTAAACCTGTTTTTTAAAAAAATGTAAGTAAACTTACCCCTCACCATTGCTCATTTCTGACAATTACCTTTCTGTATACTCACTGCATGTCATTTTTTCCCAGTAGTAAAGGTATTTGACTGTAGTCAGCCTACCCATTCAGTCTATGAGAATTTATACCCACCCACCCCCGCCTTTAAAAATTTAAAAATGTTAAAAGTAGTATGACTAACCTAGGTGGCTGTAGGATTTAGACATGTTGTGGCAGTCTGTGAGCAAATCTTTATTTGGCACCGAGAAGGAAGACACGGACCTGGCAGCACATGAAAAGCACAGCCCCCTTCTCAAGTCCTTTACTGCTCTTTACTTCACAGACCGTCTCTGCGCCTCATCTAAGCCAGTGAGAAAGACCCAGTTGGCTTAGAAAATGAGGTGGTTTTCGCACAAGCTTCTTTACTCCCTTTCTCCCCATTCCTCTTGCTCAGTAAAAACAATTACTATTTATTGAGCTTCTTACCAAGTGACAAGCATTTGATTAATTTGATTCAATATTCATTCTACAAATACTTTTTCTAAATGCTTGCCATGTACCACACGCTGCTCTGATACTGTTACCTTATTCTCGTGGCAACCTTGCAAAGTATGAGCTAACAGTTCAGTGATCTAGATGAAGATACTGAAGGTCAGAGAGGGGTTGGGATCGTGCCAGCGGTCACATAGCTAGTAGGGGTGAAAACCATGTTGTCTGACTTTTTCTGAATTTCCATATCCTAAATAGTGTTTGGATGTCCCTCCTGGCGTGGATGTCAGTAGGAGACTGGTGTCTTCTGGGTTACGTTCTTAGTAGGCATGTGATCCTAATCCTTGTAAACCTTGGCTGTAGTCACAGCAAGGAAAGAAGTTAGAGAAACACCCTACCACATTTGAGAGGTAGTTTTGCTGTCTTCAGGAGGAGTTAAGAGTTCTGATGTCTAGTCTCAGCCATTCCATAGATTTCCTGTGTCCTTTAGACATTTAAGCTCCATGGGAAACAATTACCCTTACACCAGCTACGGGTCACAGACCAGATGCTCTCGAGGGTCTCTTTAAGTCAGCCCTTTATTGCGAGATCTTAAATATAGAGGAAAGTCCGCAAATAGGTGGATGGCTTGGTGGAATAATTGTCTCAAAGTGGACACACCTCTGTTAACCAGCATCTCAATTACTAGAAAGTTAGCAGCACCCCAGAGCCCTCCTCTCATGCTCCCAGAAGTAACCAGTATCCTGACTTCTGACACCTTTGGTTAGTTTTGCCTGTTTTTAAAGTTTATGAATAGAATCATACTCTTGTATCTGGCTTATATTGCTGATCATGTTTGTGAAATTCATCCATGATACTGCATATAGTTTATTTTTTTCCTTCTCCTTGCTCTAATGGCATTTAATTGTTTATCCGTTTTATACTTGCTGGACATTTAGATGGTTTCCAGTTTGGGCATGTTACTAATGCTCCTATGAATATTTTGTGCATATCTTTTGGTGACGATTGTATTTTGTTTGCTCAGGGACTACAGTAGTATACATTCAGTGGCCCTGTGGAGTGATGTTGAACTTTAGGTAGACAAGTGATTTGTGTGTTTCAATGTGATGTTCTAAGCGTGCTTGCTCAACAGGAACAGATGATGTTTCTTTGATCATTCATGGGGGTGTGGCCAGGTGGAAGCCCTCTCTGATATGTGTGTGATGTGGTAAGACTTGTTTCCCTGGAAAAGAAGGGTTTTGGTTTCATGATACAGAAGGGGATTACAGAGGGAAGAGAAAATAGATCTGGAAGAGAGATGTGTCTGGGCTCTCCTAGAAACTGTCAGGATATGTCACCAACCAGATCAAGAGACTGGAAAAGTGACAATCCAGGGGAAGACTCAGCTTATGAGATCTGACGAGTCTAGGGAGATGAATAGAGAAGTAAGAATTGATTTGAGCAGGCAGGCTGGAGCTCAGAAAGAGCTCTCGAAGCATTTTCTGAACAAATTCATTAAGTCTAACTTTTGCTTTAAGGAAGCTTTGAAAAACCAGTCCCTAAAGTATGAATCTTGAACCAAGATTAATAAAATTATCGCCCCACCACCTGCTTCTGTTACCTGTCTGGGTCAGCTTCCTCACCTGTAAAATGGGGATATTAATATGCTTACCAATAAGATGCCCCATAAATTTCCTGTGACAATTTACCGCATAGTGGGAACATAATGCTTCTGGGCACATAGCACTAGCATTAAAAATAATAGTCATTATTTTTATTATTTTTCCCATTCTTGTTATTAGTATTACCTGTTTGACTCTGTCTAATACTTGTAGGCGACATCAGGTCATTTTTTAAAAATATGGGACTTTTTGTTTGTTTGTTTTGTTTTTAAGTATGGTGAACACTAACAAAGATATTTTCTTGCTCTTCTCACCTTAAACTGAAACTCAGAGGAAGGACTAAGGAAAGGACTTGTCCATGTGTCCTTGGCATGTCCCCAGGGTGAGTCAGTGAAGACACACTCTTGGTTGTCTGAGCTGGTTTACTCGAATAGTTCAAGAAGAGGCCAGTGGAGCTGAGATTAGTGGGAAGGTAGGGTCATTTTGCACACAGGAAAATCATAATTTTGTACATTATATTCTTCACTCTTGCCAGGCATTTTGCAAAGAAGTGTTCTAATTCAAGGAGCTTTGGTGAGAGCCTGTGTGGATAACTGAAGACCACAGCCAGTGTAGGGTGTATGTTCCAAATGGCTGTGGCTGGTGACCTCTTTCCACCTCTGTCAGTGAGTTCTGGACTAACTCTGGTGGCATATGGTGTACACAAGCTTGATTTTGCCCTCAGTGAGAGTATAATCTAACAAATGAATAATCTCCAGTGTTCTAAAAAGGAAACTTTTAGAGTGAATGAGTCAAAGAGAACATTTGATCCAAGAATCTGTATTTCTGACTTCTCTAATAACGACCTGTGGAACTTCAGGTCTATCATTTATGCTTTCTGGGCCTCAGTTTCCTCATCTGTAAAATCAGGAAATTAGTTTAGATTGAGACTTCAAGGCAGAGGTATATTCTGTGAATCCCCTAAATGTACTACCCACTTCTGGGCATATTTTAATTTTTCTAGATGCTTGAATCTTTCACAGGACCGTCCCAGAACAGAAGTTCTTATGATGGCAGATATTGGTGCTTATGATAGTGGAAAAAGGAGTGGTCTTAAGATGTGATCTAAATTCACAAAATAGTTAACGTCCATAGGAGATAAAAAACCAAATGACCAGGCTGTTGTGACTGACTTAAGGCTGTGTGAATATATATAAATTCATTTTCACATAGATATTTATTTTAACCAGCTTTAATACACATGCTCTATTCATTAAAGGGTGTGTATATTTCTATCTAAACTGCATAAATGGATATATAAGACGGCACATATAGCATAAACATAGCTGGATTATGGAAGCTGTGATTGTCCTTATCGTCTACCTCAATTTAAATTCTTTGTCTCAGGGCCAACCCGTGGCTCACTTGGGAGAGTGCGGTGCTGATAACACCAAGGCCATGGGTTCGGATCCCTATACAGGGATGGCCGGTTAGCTTACTTGGGAGAGTGTGGTGCTGACAACACCAACTGAAGGGTCGTGATCCCCTTACCAGTCATCTTTTAGAAAAAATTCAAAATAAATAAATAAATAAATTCTTTGTCTCCACATTGTATTCACACAATTGGGAATGTCCCCAGTAAAATTCATGTTTGTTTTGTTGTTCAGCTATTGAAGAAAATATTTACTAAAAAGCAGTGTCTAGAAATTAGCATTGAAACTAGATTAAATGGAATTAATAAAATAAAAATGAATACTAAATAGTGTTATCACATAATAATTACTTTTAAGTTCTGATATTTATCCTCTTACACCCAGGGGTATCTGCATGAACTGATAGCAGTAGCAATCATATAGAAAGAATGAAAGTAAACTCAAAATTTTGGAATATTTGTGCTTTCAGTCTTTTAGGTGTTATGGCAACTAACAAATACATGAAATATCATTTGCCTGAGAGTGCAGGCACCACCCTTGTCTCTCCTCTGTGCTAGTGGTTCTTGTGTTCACAGGTGACAGTGGCAGAAGCCGTCTGGTTGTACTGCTTTTGAGGCTGAATGGATCCAGGCACAAGAATGAGGTGGGGCCCCCTGTTTGGTTTCATCTCTGCCTTCTCTTCCTTAGGCTGAGGAAGGCCATGGGACTGTACAGTTAATTAGTCACTCAGGCCTGCCTATGTAGTCACTCCAGCTTATAGCGTAGTGGCTCGTCAGCAGGCCATTTGTAGCCACTGAGATAATGTCATCCCCAAAGAAAAGCATCTACCAAAGCTCTGTTCTTTTTCTTCCTTTTCTCCATACTCTTCTTGCAGGCTTTATCACTTTATTATGTGGGAATTGAAATTTTCTATCTCCTGACTGTCTTTTGTGGAACAAACATTCTTTATTTTAGGCATTTAAGGCTAAAATTTTCAAAATATGTCTTGGGGGTGGCAATCTTATTGGGAATCATGTCACACATCGTTTGTCTTGTGTCTAATTGGCTCATTATAACTTGGGACAATGTGTAAATGAATTTCTTTTTATCACACAGCTCACAAATGATTTTCCTTCTAGTGATCTCTTCCTACCAAATATCTAGGCTCACGTTTACAACCACATGGAGATTAGTTGGGCTTTTAGAACTCTTCCTTCAAGCAGATGCTTCTTGTGTGTAAGCATGTGGATGGAGTTTCAGCTATTTGCCCGTCTTGCCAAAGCCATAACAGTCTTCATATTCTCAATTGCTTTGCTTTCTCTTCACCTCTTAGGAAATTGGCCATCATTGACTTTGATTTTTTTTTTTTTCTCTGTAAGACAGGTATGCTTGGCTGGACGGTTAGCTCAGTTGCTTAGAGCACCACCTTATAACACCAAGGTCTCGGGTTCAGATCCCCATACCAGCCAACCCCCCTCCCACAACCCCCCCCCCCCCCAGGAGAGGTATGCTAGAGTGTAACAGTAAACAGA